CTATACATGACTGTTTCTTACTGCTCCACGAGATGGCACCGTTGTTCAGCAAGAAAGCATAACCAGACGTTGATTTGCGCTCATCCGGATCTCCCGCCCACTCGGCATCGCTGAATCCCTTTAGCCGCAAATCATTTCCTTGATAGCATAACATGTAGTTTGTCGTCCCTCTAAGATATCGGAATATCCTCTTGACTGCTTTCCAATGTGCAAGTCCAGGATTCGACTGAAACCGGCTAACAAGACCAACCGCATAACATATATCAGGTCTAGTACACATCATGGTGTACATTAAACTACCGATAGCGCTGGAGTAGGGAACTCTAGACATTTTCTCCATTTCATCTCGAGTCTTAGGACCCATATAAAGACTTAAGCTCGCATTTTTCTCAACGGGAGTTTCTATGGGTTTGCAATCGTGCATTCGGAAACGTTCAAGTATTTTCTTAATGTAAGTCTCTTGAGACAAACAAAGAAGTCTCTTCGAACGATCTCTAATAATTTTAACTCTGAGCACGTAATTAGCTTCACCCAAATCTTTCATCTGGAATTTAGATGATAACCATCTTTTTGTGACGTCAATTAGCTCCCTACTGTTTCCGGCCAACAGAATATCATCCACATATAATGAGAGTATCACAAAACTCCCATTGGACTTTTTCACATATACGCAATGGTCCTCTTCCATCATCACAAATCCATCTAATAGAATTTCTTGGTGGAATTTGAGATTCCATTTTCTGGACGCATGCTTTAAGCCATAAATAGACCGTTTGAGCTTACAAACTTTTTGCTCTTGGCCTATGACTTCAAAGCCAACCGGCTGATCCATATATATTTCTGCATCTAAATCTCCATTGAGAAATGCAGTTTTAACATCCATTTGATGTAATTCTAAGTCCATATATGCGACAATGGCCAAAATGAGTCGAATAGAAGCAAACATCACCACTGGTGAAAACGTTTCTTCATAATCGACCCCTTCTTTCTGCGTGTAGCCCTTAGCTACAAGACGAGCCTTATATCTTTCAATGGATCCATCTGCCTTGTATTTGACTTTGAGAACCCATTTGTTCCCAATCGTCTTACGTCCTGGCGGTAGATCAACCAAGTCCCAGACATGGTTATCTTTCATAGACTCCATTTCTTCTTCCATAGCTTTCATCCATTCTTTAGACGCTGGACCATTCAGAGCCTCATTAACCGTTGTAGGTTCTTCGCCATCTAGTGATGCTACCATAAATGATTCCCCTTCGATTTCAAATCGACGTTTAGGAATCTGACCACGATCACTTCGTCGTGGTTGAGGTACAACTGAATCCATTTCCATATGATTATATTTAACTCGATCTATCTCTTTAGGACTAGATTCAGCTGGAACATCACTTAGTCTCGAGAGGTATAGTGTTCTTCTCCTTTTCCTCAACCGATTGGAGTGATGACTCACTCAGAGGACTTTCAAGTTCATAAAATCGCGAGTCTTCTGAGACCTCTCTTCGTTGAGGAAACTCATCCTCTAGGAATGTAGCATCTCGAGACTCAATTTCTGTTACACTTCCATCAACATTTTCACCTATAAACACATAGCCTTTCGAGAGATCAGAATATCTGATAAAGATACACTTTTTTCCTCTAGGACCCAACTTCCCAAACTTATGGGACGTGATGTGTATATAGGCA